CGAGCTTTGCAAGAAACATTTTCTTCGTCAATTGAATGCTGCTGTCCAAAGAATTCAAAGAAAGGAATTTGTCATCTATTTCTTTCAAAGAAGTTCACAAATTGACGGATGTAAATTGGTAAAAGATGAATTTTCTCGTCTGAAACTGAATTGTGTGGTGGAGAGTGAAGCTCGAGTCGATATGGAGTATTTTTTAAACAGATAAACTTCACAGTCTGCTACGAGAATGTTGTTTCAAGTGACAATTGAGCTGCCAATGGCAACCGCTATCATTCGGAGATCAGAATTATTTKTTTGCGAAAAATAGCACAAATGTTGAAATCCAAAGCACAACAAAGTCGGCAAATTGTCAAATTCATCCAAAGTTTATTGGCTAAAATGAAAATGCTAATGGCCATGTATTCAATCTCGAAGCGATTAGAATAGAATTTTGTTCCTTTTTTCTTCATTTGAATTCAGGGTTTTAAATTGAGATTCTCGACTTTAATTGTTTCGGCACTTTATAGTGTCAGCAAATACCGATGGATCAGATCTGTAGTTTGATCACCTCTAGATAAGTCTTCACCATAGATGGCAGACAGCGTAGTTACAGTACGAGTGGCTACTCACAATGACGTGGATAACTAAATACTCCACGTGCCAGAGAGAATCTACAATGGAAGAGACTACCTTCCTGTTGTCCTTGAACAATGGCTAAATCATGACAGGAAGCTGATATATCTTGCAGAGTACGAGGGTGAAGTTATTGGATTACAAGTCCTGAATTGTGTTGTAACCATCCCTATGTCAGTGACTTGTGCTTAACATATTTCTAGGTGTTACAGTGATCTGGTTGAAAATCGTTTGTTATTAAGCCTATCTGTCCTGCCCCCTCTTCTCCTGGACATCCCCTAAGCGCCTCTGTCCTGTACTCTTGTCTCCTTGACATCCCCTAAGCGTCTCTGTCCTGCATGTACCCGTTCATTCTCCTTGACATCCCATAAGCGTCTCTGTCCTGCATGTACCCCTGTCTCTTTGACATCCCCAAAGGGTCTCTGTCCTGTACTCTTGTCTCCTTGGCATCCTCTGAGCGTCTCTGTCATGTACCCTTGTCTACTTGACATCCCCTAAGCGTCTCTGCCTTGTACCCTTGTCCACTTGACATCCCCTAAATGTTGTTGGGTTGGGTGCTTATCGTCCTTCATGGCATCACGTGTGCTGAATTGCGAAAGACGCAGTCACTATATTACAGACACATTTTACACACACACTTTGTACACATAGGCGTGCTGCCGTCTAGGCGCTTCCTTTACATAGCAACGAACGACTGAACGCGGACCACATTAGATAGAAAAGGTTCGTTTTTACTGAGGGGGAAAACCCGGAAAGACCCGGAAAAACCCTCGACGCAAGGGAGAGAACGAAAGAAACTCAAATCACATATGGCGCCCCGACCGAGATTCGAACAGGGTCCAAAGAGGTAACAGGCCAGCCCTGTGCGTCCCTTGTTCATTGACTCCTGGACATCCCCTATTAAGTGTCCTGCACCCTTGTCTCCTAAACATACCCTAAGCGTCTCTGTCCTGTACCCTTGTCTCCTAAACCGGCATACCCTAATTAAGCGTCTCTGTCCTGTATGTAGGGCTATATTCGTGTACGATTTACTGTTGCAGAAGCCCATTACTAGGAGCCTGCTTCCTCTTCTTAATAGGTTCTTAGAACCGCATTTACCCAATTCGTAAAGGAAAACTCCTAGTAATGGGCTAATGCTACTTGGTGTTCAATTGTCGAGAATGGGAAAACAAACGGCATCAGTCTGATTGCCGCCTCTTGTCAAAAATGCTTCTGAAAAATCCGTTTTTAAAATCTTGCAGCGTTTCCGCTTGCCGTAATCCAACTGGGAGGCTGTTCCAAAGTGTCGCACCTTTATAACTGAAACTGTCCTTGAGAAAGTTTGTGCGTGGCTTTGGAACAGCAAGTTTGTTCTCAGAGTCTCTTAGATTGTAAGTTTGGATCCGTTTATTGAACAAAGAGCCCAAATATGCAGGGGCCAGTCCATTAATAGATTTAAAGACCATCACGCCTGTGTGAAATTTGCGTTTTTCCAGCCGAGCTGTTCGATGAGGCAGTCAGCATTAGAATCATAGCTCGAAAAGGTCAAGACTCTTGCAGCCCGATTTTGGAGCTTTTGCAATTTGGTAGCAAGAGTTTTACCGCAATTGCCCCATACAACACAACAATAGTCGAAATGAGGTTGTATTAGTGAATTGAATATCGCTATCAGAGTTGTTAAGTACCCTGCACGTGTTTATTTAAGTGAGCATAGTCATGGGGTTGTATGAATAGAGTGATGTAACCTCGAATAACGAATACTGTAGTATAAATAGAAGCAATAGGCTTCTAATCTGTGAAATGAAACGAACCGAACCGAACCGAACCGAATAAAGAAGTTAAGTCAAGACTGGATTTTTTCTGAACGATATAAACAGAGTAGTGGTAGGCACAAATTGTTTCACACGTTTTAATGCCCCGATACCAGATACAATCTTTTTGGCTAATCCCTGGATGTGCACATTCCAAGAAAAATTCTCGTCAATTTGCAAGATAAATTCTCGTCAATTTGTACGTGCCGCCAGAGGTCTAAATCCCTGACCCTGTTTAAGACACCAAAAAGTAAAAATCCATACCCTGTTCAAGACAAATCGGAAAAATAAGGAAAACTGCAATTATACTGACATCCATCAAAGACAATAGACGTTTTTGATAACACGTTAATTCTGGGACAGTGAAACGGTATTTCTACGGTGTTATGAAAATATTACCCTGTCCAAGACACACAAAAAATTATATCGGTCTCTTTTATATAAATTGTAGAACCGGTTTAAGACAATTTCGGGTGAAATGTATACCCTGTTTAAGACAGCAAAGCCAAAAACCAAAACCATACCCTGGCCAGCGGCACGTCCCCGTATAGCAAATATATGGGAATATCCCCCACCCCCCGTGAATCTCTCTGGTATGCAAAGCACAATGTAAAATATGTTTTGTTATGTTTTGCTTATTTTCACTTCAAAACAACCTATACTCCATATAATAACTCCCCTGTTATTCATAGCTAGTCCTATTTATATAATACATATACCGTACTTTTTATTTTTTTTATTTTTTGTGACATAAATCACAAATTTCTCGAGTTTCCATTTTTTACGATTTATAAATCGCAACTTTTTGGATTTTTGTGATTTATAAATAGTAAAACTCTTGAGTTTTCATTTTTTTGAGATATATATATTGCACTTTCCTAACTTTTGTGATATATAAATTACAAACATCTCGAGTTGTCATTTTTTTGCGATTTATAAATCGCAACTTTTTGGATTTTTGTGATTTATAAATAGTAAAACCCTTGAGTTGTATTTTTTGCGATGTATAAATCGCAATGTTTTGGATTTCTCAATTTTTTCGATTTACAAATAGCAACTCCTTAGATCGCTCAATGTTTGTGATTTATAAATCTCATATTTTTCGTGGATAAATTAACGTTATTTATAAATAACTAAATATATTGCACAAAATTTATAGAAAACTTTGATAAATAATAAATTTACAAACGGCGCCCCATATCTTTCTTTCATTTGACTGCAGTCGCCGCGTGTGTGGTCTGGGGCCAAGTCATTATGCAAATCTGTCACCAATGCAGCGCGGGTAAAAAGTTCGGAAATCTTTACGAAGTTGGCTTTTCTCGTCGTGGTTTTTCTTGGTCATCTGGATTTCCTGCTCGTTACCATCGCTTTAAACAGAATCTTTGAATAACGTCCGACTCTCGTGAACTTTATATTTACCACAGAGAAGCGTTTATTGACTTGTTTTCCTTCTTTGAAAACAAAACAACAGCTCAAGTGGCTACAATGTAACTGGTATTTTGACGCCTTTACATTTCTCTGTAACCCCCTCAAGTAAAACAAGAGAACAGTCTTATCATGGATCTTGAAGAAATAGCAAGCTATTGGGCTCGATTCCATTTGTCATTCTCGTGGGATTATCCGGAGGGACTCGACTTACAAGCTGTACAACAAGCCGTCTTTCATGTCGTTGGCGAATCCGATGGAAGGTAGGATTTAGCTCGCGTAAAGTCACTCTACTTGCAGTGCTTGCATGTGACTATTCTATGATTAAATTATTTATATACACGTTATGCTAAGGTTGAAGTATTTCGTCCTTCATATTAAGCAACTCATAGATTCAAATCAAGCGATTCGACCCTTTTGTGCGGACCTTTGTATTACCAAAATCGCACGTTTGTGATTCTTTTGTGTACAAAAAAACTCGAAAAATTAACACAAAACAAATTATTACAAATCGATGGCTTTCAAATTTATTAAACTCAATGAAAAAATATCTAGATGGCGATAATTTATTGATTCCCATCGGTCAATTTATCAAACTCTCTCGGAAAAATATGTCAGTTTTTATATTCGCGTTAGGTGGTATTCTAAATAAATTCATTAGTAGTCACGCATTACTTAAACTGAGCAAAACATCAAGTTATTGCTATCGTATTCTATTGATTTGTAGAATTGTTTGATCTCGTCGATTTCATTCTTGAACAGCTGATAACCTTATAGAAGATTTGATCGTATCCTTTCGTGTGTCATTGCAACTTGTCAGTTTCCAAAACACGCTATCATATGCAAGGCTCATGTTAAGAAACTTGCTTTGTACACAGTAGTTTGAATTGGCCTGTCTATTGCTTGAACAGTTCCCACGCCGGAAAGAGATTTGTTTCAATTTGTCTAGGAATTTAATTGGATTTGAGACATTCAACAGACTGTAAATATTGTTCTAGATCAATTTGTTCTAAAATTATGAATCACAACATTCCATTGATCGATGCCATTTGGAATGTTTGATCGCGAAGTATTTTGACTTGAAAATGTTTGTTAACCATACTGATTATGCTCTGCTATTGTTCTTGGCTTTGTGCTTGATTTCCGGTGCTTGGACTGACCTATGCATATTAACTGAATCAAGTAGATCTGGCCTTTAGTTGTACTTGTCTGTGATAAGATATCATGTCTGAGCATATTAAAGACCCCTAAAGCACCCATGAACCAGAAACCTTCCATATAGAACTTAAATGTGCAATGAATTAATTAATGAAAAAGTAAATAAAATAGAAATTTGTAAAATTAAACTTCTAGAGTGCAATCATTACATTCTTGATATACTTACTTCGTTGCACAAAGAGGATTTTACACTAATTTGCCTAATTTAGGTTGCAAACAATTTCACTGATTAATATTGAATGCATTCAAGACAAAGTAGACAGAATTCACAAAGCATCTCAAATTAAAATTATGTTCTCCTTGATTAGTTTTATTACAGTTATGAAGAAAAATAATAAAAAAAAAAAACATGGGATGCTGAAAGGTCATCAACATCAATTACATTGTTTAGTATATTCGAGATAATTGTGAAATAATGACAGCAAGTCAAGAAGGGTTATTCCTGATGATCCAGAACTGTGTTGAGATATGTCATCTCATGGGAGGCTAGAAAAACATTGAATAATGGCAGTAGTAATAATCTTGGTATCTCAGGCTCCATAAATAATCATAATCCTCAGAATTATACCAATCATTGAAAAATGCTTTTTTCCATAGTTTCATTGAAAGAAAATTTTAGATCAAAGATAAACACGTTTTGGGGCAATTGGGATGATCACAGGAGTCTTAGACAGGCAACATCGACAGATTTTGTCACAAAAATTCTACTTTCTACAACAAAGTTTTTCAACCTGCATCAAATAATTTTGCTGCGAGACAAGTTGGTTCGATTTTGGTTCTCATATTACTGTACCTTAGGTTTATGAAGTACAGAAGATTAATAGAAAGAAAGCTGGAAAAGTTTGGAGGTTGTTGTATAAACGTTCTAGGCTCAAACTATGTGTGTTTGTATCAGGATAACATCCCTTTCTCTTACTTAGGTCACAAGATCAACTTGTGGTTGGTTCTGTGCAATCTGCTGGTGCTGGTGTTGTGTTAACACAGCCTATTCCTGTCTCTGACAATGTTCCATGTGAATTAAGTTTCACTGCACATCCCATGTCAGATGAGTTTTGTATCAAGAATGTTGTCATAGTGTCAGAAGCAAGAAATGTTGAACTTTATGTGGATGGTTGCTATGCTAAGACGGCAAGGGGTATTATGCTCACTATAAGGAAAGGCAGGTATGAAACTATTTACCCATGAAACATTGGCTCATAATAATATAATTAACATACTAAAATTTATTACCCTAATTTATGTAAAATGGTAAATGAGGCTTTCCAAATGTGTAATTTGACTTTAAGGTGCATAGTATGGCAGCCAAAGCACTTGCATATAGAATCTATGATACATAACATGAACTAGCTACAAATTGTAGCTATGTCAAAGCTACTTACAAACTAAATGTCTAAATGTTATCCGATGTTAATGGGACACAGTTGGTGCAATTAACCTCTTTGCATGCAAAGAAACATCGACGCAGCTCACACTAGTTTACTGCTAGTTCCCACCTCTTGGCATGCATGCTCTGCAAAAAGAAAAACAATTCCATTGTGAACATGAAAGCACTATGAAATTTGGGCAACTTTGGTTATTTGATATTACGGGATCCACCAAATTAGAAACTGAAGGCATTGGGTTAGGTGTGCCACATTTGTATTATAATAATTTGTACTCATGGCAAATCATATTGTAGTTGCAACTAGGTGGAAAGCATAAACAACCTCACCTCAATTTTCCACTTAGTTAATTAGAATATAAAAGAGAGTTTTTAAAAGCATATCGTACACAGGAAAATCAAATTTCAGAGAGGAATAAATGACCATTGACTTTCCATCTGCCATCTCTTTTCAACAGGAAATTGCGTCCATGTGAAAAGTTGCATTTTAGTAACAGATGTGAAATTTGATGGTCATTTGTTCCTCCATTTCTATTTGTTGTGTACTGTACTATGCTGTAATAATCTTTCTAATACTGTATTGACCCTCAGACTTATTTCTTGTTTTTGCCATAGAAAAGTATCTCTATTTGAGACAGAGTTTGATTTATCAGAATATGTGAGAGGAAAATGCAGATGTGCAATTAAGGTAACAAGTCATATCTCGTCCCGTCGCAATGTCAACCCTTCCATTTTGCCCCCAATCAATATCACTACCATGCAATCTTGCCTCATATTGATATCACTACCTATGTCATTTCACCCCAAAAAAGTCTCTCTGTTTAACTGTTCAAACTCACATAAAAATAAGAATTTCAGCTGTCAATTGTGCGTGTTTGTAGCAATCTTTCAAGCTTCATATTTATATGTAATTTTATGGAGTTCTATTAATTAGTTTTTTTTTTCGTTATGTTTGAACAGTAATTTATAGAAATGTCAAAGACAGAAGTTCATAGAAAAATGTATGTGTTGAGGTGGCAATATTGAAGTAGATAATATTATTTTTACCCCTCAGTTTTTATCCTTCCCACAACCCCATGCTGTAAGAATCCAGACAATTGTGGTGAAAGTAGCAAAACGACCAGCAATGAATTCCTCACAAGCACAGGATGTTCCTGGAATTCAGGTATGTAGTCACTAACAATTGTGCGTTTAAATGACTAGCTATATTGGCTCAAAAATTCGCATTTCCAGATTCTGGGACTTCTGGCTTGTGTCGAATCAGAGCCTTTGATTTTTACTCGGGGTTCCTGTGGAACGCCGAGTATTAATTTCGGCGTTATTATTTTTTTTATTTTTATTTTTTTTCGCATTCATCGCCAAATCGCGGCCAGACTAGCCAGGTGTTCCTAGCCTGTCTTGTCTCGTCCCATGCGTCAAGTGCTAATTGCAGCAGTTTCTTCGTCGATGGACTTATGGTATTGCTTCTTCTTCAAAAATACGCTCAAATCACTTACAAAAAATCCACAAAGAATTCGCGGTATAGACACACTAAAAGATGTCGACCGTTTTCGGAATGGGCTTTTTGAAAAATACCGCAAATTTATCAAGCTTATTGTGACTTAAGTTATGATACACAAGCCATTTAATCTATCCAAAACCAATCATGAACTAATAGAAAGCTACTGATATTCAAAGCTATAATTACTATACCGACATGAGTATAATTCAGAAGGAGCCGTTCTTCTAAATAAATGTTCTTGTACGATTTTTTTTCCTTGGAAAGAAATTTTTAGCTACATTGATGACAATCGCACAACAAAATGTGGCGCCACTAAAAATATAATTGTTATAGTTATTCAAATGAAAGACGTTGCCAATATTCTATGTATCATTAAACCAAGAGACAACGCTAAAAAGAACCCCGAGTGCACGCTGACAAGCGTCTTGTTGATTAGGAAAATGAGGAGGTCTGGGTAAAAGAATGGTTTACTATTTGATTAAGATGGCAAAGTGTCGTGTTAACTGACTGACTAAGATGTCAATAATGTCTGTATAACTGATTGAATTCGGTGACAAAGTGTCTGGTTTACTGTTTGACTAATTTCGTTTACTGACTGACTAAAATTTCAATAATGTCTGGTTAACTGAGTGACTTAGACAACAAAATGTCTGATCGACTACTCTGATTGACTAAGATGGCAATTACATTACATGGAGAGTGTGGGAAAGAGCAGAAATTCATTCAGAAAATAAATAGAATGCTTTGGAAATCAGAAACAAAAGTTTATAAGCCATTAACCTTTATTCTAATAGGCTATTTCAAGGATTAACATTTAAGCAGTTCATGGAAATAGCAAAGAATCAATTAAAAGTAATTATAATAGTTTTCTTAAGTAGTTTAATAATATGCAATTAATATTCTTTTTTATTGTGAACACATACTTAGACTGGCATCAATCTTATACCTGGCTCTGTGGATCTTGTGAGTGTTAAAGAGTTTATCAAAACATCAGGTAAAGAATTGACTCCCGAGGCTGAGAAACTTCTGGCATCCATGGAGCAAATGCAATGGGTAAGTCCCTTTTTTTTTACAAATTAAAAAATGCATTTGGAACAAAGGACAGTTTATTCACTGTTCATTTTCTACCGTCAGAAGATTGATATAACTTTCGTATCTTTTTTTTATGGCGTGTTATTTTCTGTGTGAAATGACTACTGATTTAAAAATTGTGCGAACGGTTCAAAACTTGTGCGGAATGACTTGGGCGAACAGTCTTTTGTGCGAAATGACTGAATACCGTTTATTCTCAAGTGATCGATGACAAAACTCCCCCCTGACCAATAACCTGCACCAACCAAAGAGTTGTTTTGAATATACAGTAATAGACATTGTTCAAGACTTTAACAGTATTTTCTGCTCAATGTTTAAATTGTAGATCCACAATTTAGCTAGATCGATTTTTAAAAAGTCTAGAAAATAGCGCTGGAACATGCAAAAAGTAACAAAACATAGAGAGCCTTTATAATTCCTATATAATCTTCGCTGTGTCTAATATTATGTTAATACCATTGAAAAGCTATTTCATGTTGTACCTAATGAACATAATTCAAATTCCTATTCAATTTGAAGGCTCAGGGTGTCCAAATGCGTCAATCAAGGCCAAGGTCACGTAGCATGGATATCAAGGCAGACAGAGATGACCCTACTCCACCTCACCGTTTCAGTGTTGCCAGTGATGGCAGTCTTCTTCAACAAGCAATTGCAAGAGCAAGAGAACTTGAAGAAGAAGATCAGTACAATAGGAGAGGTAAGACAGCATAGTACTTTATGATGCCAGGGGATACTTTACACACCTTTTATCGGGTTCCTATAAAATTAGTACTGTGACTACATTGATTATATGTAATATATAAAATATGAGTGGAAGACCTTTATGGACACAAATATGTAACAGTATATTGCTTATAAAATTCTAATGAGGTGAAGTATTATTTTTAAGAGGAAAGTCACATGCAAGTCAGTACAAATCTCTTGCTTATTTATACTGATGCTGTCACGGCAATGATTTTCCATTGTTTGCCCTTATGAGTTATACATGAATTGGATAAGATTTCTTTTTTGTCAGTTTCTTCTGTTCATTGTATTCTGTTGTATGATATATACTAATGCATTTGTTTCACATCTTCATAGACCATGTTGGTAGTCCTGGCAATAATGAATCATTGATAAACAGACTAGCAGGACTAATGATAGATCGAAGCAATCATCGTGAAAATGGACCTATTATTCACAATGGGGACATCATTCCAAATGGTGATAGACATCCAGAGGAACAGGCTCAGGCACGCTGGGAAGCTTATGTTCAAACTAGACTCCAGCAAGGTCATCAAGACATGAATGCAACATCAAGAATTAGAACACATTCAAGTCACAGTACACCAAGCATACTTGGACATGGTATGCACTATGATGAACCTGACCGACCATCCCCACCATCCCCTCCCTTAGGTACTAGTTCAACAAAAGTTTCTTCAGCACCTGAACTTGGTACAAAAACGAGGTAAATGGAATATATTCACTATTTTACCAAAAATTGATCAGAATCACATAATATATGCTGTATTTGATATGGCATATTACAATAATGTAATGCATGAATAGACCTGCATTCACTGTAAAACATTTTGCTAAATGGTTTTCTCAGAAAATCAATTCAGTCACAGTTCTGTTTGCCCTATAACATATATCACATGGCAATAAAGTTTGCTTTAATTTTAATTTGGGATGTTTTTTTTCTTGTTGATTTATAATTAATATGGGTGAGATGTCACCTGTTAGTGTTTGCAATTTGCCAACCAATATTTTTTGATTGCCTCATCCAAAGTGTAATTAAATTCAAAGTTAAAATCAGTGAAAATGTCTCTGGCCAACACTAAAATCTTGATTTGATGAATGGAAAATGTCTATAAGACTAACTAAAGGATTGTTCTTCAATTTTTCAGGTGTGTTGCATGTGGTTGTCCAGGGTGTCTCTCTGTATACAATTCCATCACCACTAATATCTACTCAACAGAAGAGAGAATCATGGCTAAAGTGGAACAGAAAGTACAGCAACTTCAACACCACATAGATTCACAGTTTGATGCTCTTTACCAGTCATTACAGTTGCGACAGGAACAATTAGTTGCTCATGCATTGCATGGCAATAATTTGCATCATCAAGGTGCGGTACCAAGCCGACGAATAAGTGCCAATTCAAAAGTTGGTGATACATCTGTTTGACAGTAAAAAATGCTTTAATGCCTTTTTAGTTAAGTGGCCTTATTGTCAAAGGAATAGAGAATGAATTGCCTATTTTCATGTGGGAGACTGGGTGCAAGTCCCGTAATTTGCACAATTATGGTGAAATAGGAATTGATACATAGAATGAAAAAATGCACTTTTTAAAAATAAAAGTGTGAATGACTGACAGTAAAAAATATATTTTTTTAAGAAATATATGAGAATTTGGAAAAATTTGGATTCAACTGTGTCCGTTCAATACATTTCTTTGGAAATTTTTTTTAAAAAGAATTTTAAGGCTGTAAATCTAGTTGACACCAAACTTTGTGAGTTTCTTATTTTCCGTGCCATCTTATGTTCCATATACGTATTATTTACCAATGTGAGGATTAAGGGACCCAGTCTCCCATAGTATGACCAGGCATTTTTGTACTGTATTAATAGTCTTCTTCACGGTTCTCTGCGCCATCTTGAAAGGAAGCTGTGCCTTTGCATCGAAGCGAGACAACCGTTGAGCATGCATGATAGAAACCTTCTTTCTTACCCACAGACAATTATTCACAGTTTTCTATCATTACACACTCAACGGTTGTCTTGCTTCGATGCAAAGGCATGGCTACCTTTAAAGATGGCGCAGGGAACCGTGAAGGAGACTGCTAAGAGTTCAGTGCATTACAAGGGCCCTCTTAAAATATGTTTTGTACATACAAACACTATTATGAATGCCTATCGTTATGATAGAGTGGAAACATTAAACCCATGAAACAAAAGCTAATGGTCAAGACTTTAATAATTAGATACACCTACTAAAGAAAATAATGGAGTTGGTGACTAGATTGTACATACTGATTATTATAGGTGACCTTTATTGTAGTATTTATTTATATAATACTGCAGACAATGGTGTGACTTTTTCAGATGATAAATATTAAGTGAAATTGTCTATAGACATCATCAGATACATAAGCTCCAGATTTTTAAAAAAGGTGAAAACTCCTAACTAAACTTTTTTTAGTTTTTTATTTTTGCTAGAAGGTTTATTGAGACAAATTAAACTTTTTTTCTATAATATATAATAAGCATAATTCATCTACTGGATATTTATGTTTCATCGTTTAGTGTTAGAGTACAAACACTAAAACTGTGCAACATAAATAACACTAAATACTGCTAAATTATGCTAATTCTATTGTGTTCTATTATTTAATTAACACTATTTTGTAGTAAATAGTGGAAAGTGTTGCACACATTTAATGTTGGTACTCTACTTTGTACTCTATTGCCTATTCTGAAAATATTTTTTGAACCAAAGAGATGTTTGCAAACCCTTGATATTTCACTTTGGTCATAATTGGTTTCCTCATCCACAGGGATCCCAACAGGGCTGCTATGAAGACTAAGATTTTAAACCACTTGCACAAGAATTTTGAAAGTAGTCAATAGCATCTATTCTATTTACGATTTTATCAGTAGTTTGGGGTTGCGACTAGGAAGTAATAAGAATTGTATATATTTTTAGAGATATTTGATATAATATGTGAATTTGAAATTAGTTCCTTTGAGGAGTTTTTCAAGGATTTTATCTTGACGAAAATGTGATGAAATAAATGCCGGTATTAATGTAAGCTGCTGATTAGGCATTATTATTTCACACAGGGATCGTTTTCTAGTACAGTTGGCTCTCATGGAACGACCCTCTCATAAACGACCATCTCCCGTAAGCGAACTCCATTTAAATATAAAACTCTGTAAAAAACTCTCGTAGGCGACCACTTTTGTAGTCGATCGCGACCACCTTTGGGGTTGAAATTGTTGAATTTTTCATTGTTTTCCCTCTCCCGTATTTTAAAGAAGAACCGCTTTGTGGAACATACCGTGTCCAGGTTGCGTAAAGTGTATATACACCTATTTCAAAAAACGTTGTCGTCACCACGACACAGTCCACAGTCTTAAGCCTGCAAAGAATCTCGGGGTTTCCTAGTCTCTTTTAACAGCCGCGACTTCCGCCGGAAGTCGCGGCTGTTAAAAGAGACTAATATTCGCTTCGAGACCGAGAGCATTCCAGTTTCGAATTCTCCAATGCTCTATGTTAGCCTCATTTGTGCGCAATATATTCGTAATTGTGAGAATAAAAGTGTGAGATTTCAAATCAATTCTATTGTCTCTCTTTTCAAATTCCATGCGTTTTCTCGGGCTATCAATAAATTAAACAAAAGAATATGCTGCTTGGTTTTAAACCAGAACTTTAATTATTTATGGTACGTAATCCCGAGATTCTTTGCAGTCTCAAGACCGTGGACTGTGTCCTGGCGACGACAACGTTTTTTGAAATAGGTGTAGAATTTTGCGGTGAAATATAATGTATATTTTTACCGGCGGCGCTACCTCACCCATCTCCCCCTAATATCACACATATCAATCACACAGACAAATTATCACTAACACAGAAAAATAAAACACCTACTATAACACCTATATTATATTAAAAGAAAAAGACAAAAAAGTGCTCGAGACGAGATTCGAATAATAAAACAAAGAACAACTATATTTCAGTTAAAAAGAAAGAAAGAAAAAAGAAAAAGTTTTTCAGACGTCTTTGAGGCGAGGTCCCTAGGAATTGCTAAACTGGGACGTGGGAAAAAAAAGTCAATCTAAAGTAATCAATCGCGCCCAACTAATCAGTCGCGGCCGCTAGTAAAAATATACATGTAACCGTATTTACTCGAATAGACGCCTCTCCCGAATAGACGCCGTCCTCAAATAGACGCCGCATCTGGTTGCGGCGTCAATGAGGAATTAAGAGCCACTTCGCGCAAAAATCAGACATATCTTGGCAAGGCTCGAAAAATCAAATCTATTCAAAATCTTCCTTTTAATTAAATGGTCTGAAAATCACTGAAATAAATATCAAAGAGTTAGCAAGAAAGCTGCAATTTAAATTTTTAAAGTAGCTATTTTAGTTTTTACATGAACTCGGTATAAAGTTTCGCTATTCTAGCAATCGAGCATCTGTCACGCAAAGGTCCAGTATGTGACATTTATTCGCGATTTTCTTGCGAAAAATGAGATATTTTCAAAAACCAATTACACAGCGATTGTTACCTAATCATACCTTATCAATATACAAAATATGAATAGATTTGATTTTTCGAGCCTTGCCAAAAAAATTCAGTTTTGTTTGGTTTTTGCGCGAAGCGGCTCTTAATGATACCAGCAATGGAATTTATTTTTTTTAGAGCATTTTTCATTTCGAAGTGACTGTGCTTTTTGCTCTCACTCAGCAGCTGTTAGATTCCAAACCACCAGGAGGACATTGATATTGAAATAGAAGTAAACAAAATGAACACGAAATTCATATATTGAGATTCGTTACTGTTTGTTAGTAAAAAGATACAATATAAAGTAGTGCATGTAGTACTGAATAAAGTGTCTTTTTAATAAAAGCCTCCCCCGAATAGACGCTGCCCTCGAATAAACGCCGCAACTGGATCGTGAAAAATGAAATAAACGCCGCGGCGTCTATTCGAGTAAATATGGTATTTGTAACCACCTGGAGACGGTGCGTAATGAAAGTGTACGGCCTCAGTCTTTCTCGGTCATGCGTAACTGAATATACACAAGGTTTTGCAAGAGTATTTGCAGTCACAGACTCGTACCCAGTCGTTACTTACGCTCGAAGAGGTTGATGGGAAGGCGGGAGAAAAAGTAAACTGGCAGAAAACCAAAATTTTCCTGCACAAAGTGTAAGTTTCCTGCAAGCGACCTCAAATCAACAGTTTCAAGCGTTTTTTCGACTTCTGTATACTTGTGTAGTCTATTGGAGACTAAACATAAAGTTTAGAGATGAAACAGACCGAATACGATGGATTTCTATATTATTTTTGAATTCTGGCATTCAAGATGGCGGATTCACCTTCGGACGACGTCGTGAATTTGGATATATCTTTCCACGAGCTCAACTTAGAGGGTAAGTGCGAATATTTCACCTCTTCTGTTTTGAAAAGACTTGTGTTCACAGTACGATCAAGTGTAAATTCGAGCCGATATTGATATTTTCATGTCGCAGACGACGCTACTAAACCTGACGAACAGCCGAATTCGAGTAGAAGATCTCTCTTTCAAAAGCACGACCTTACACCGAATTCCAAACAGCGTGGGTTGCCTCAATCTAAAGTGAGGCGAACTACCCAAGGTATGAATAATGAAATGATCTTTCCATATACCAAATTCGAAGTCGGTATCACACCCCTGAAGTGTGAGATTCACCAATAATTTATTTCCATTCTTTTGCAACTCGAGTCTGTGCCTACTTTTAAGCCAAATATACTCTATTTTAGCTAATTGAAATTGATGATTGATAATTCTTATTTCACAACGAGTGATTGAGTTGACATTTAGCCTTGAAAATTGATTCATCAAATTTAGGAAAAGAACACTTTTTAGCTTGGCAGATTGGCATTTTAAAATATCATAGAGTCTTACATTATGTCCTTGGACCACTAGATCTTAAATTAAGAGTAGAAATATCCTAGGTTTTAGAGTGTATTAAGGTAAATTTGATGTACTATATTATTAGGAGACACACTACAGCAATTGTTGGATAATGTCTGTAAAGAAGAGGAAGGCAGTACAGTGAGTCAAGGAGAGTTATTGGAAGTTCTGGGAATAGATGATGACTTGGCGGCTAAAAGTAGAGTTTCTAGAGCTGTTGCTGCGGTATTTCCAAATAGTAAGAGAAAGAGAATGTTAACAACAGACAATAAGCAAATGTATCCTTATCATTGTTGCTGTCATTAATATTAATGGAAGTTCATTGAAATCACAAATACATAGTACTAGATAGTCTCTGAGATAATCTACAGGATTCATGAACTCTTATTACCAGCATCATGCTTATAATGAATAATTTTTCAATTCTTTTTTATTGCTGCTTAATGGTTTATATTTCCTTAACATGTTGCCAGTCAAATATACACAAATCTGAAATTTAAACATGAAATCCAACTTGAAATGGCCTTTGGCGACACAGTCCCTGATAGAAACAAGCATGAAATAAAGGAGTTGGAGGCAACCATGTCACGATTGTGGGAAGAAATTCAACAAGCACTTGATGAAAAGGTACATTATTTCATATGCTTTGTATTCACCTCATACTTAAGGTTGAGGTTTTTATTTAGTACATGTATACATCATTAATTAGGGATTCACAATAACCATTTCACAGTTATTACTTTGATGATTTATAGTAGGACTATACGGTTCTCATATACGTGTTGATTCAATATTTCAGAACCAGAGGCTTGTCGAGACTCTACTTCTCCAGTATAGAAAAATGAACATCGCAAGAGAAAACCATCTGACAGCCCTTATTAATATTTATGAGAAGGAGATATCAAGGTTGAAGAACTCTACTGAGGCTGTATCGAACTCTCAAAAAATTGCTTTGGGCAATGAGATGGAAAAGATAAAAAAAAAAGTTAATTTGGGTTATCGAACTGGCAGTATGAAAGAAAATGTGGATGTGCCTACCAATATTTTTGCTGAGCTGGCAGCATCAATAAGTGAGGAATGCCCAATTATCAATGAGATTCTGGAAACTTTAATTGGTTCTAAACAGAAATCAACAAATAAGGCAAAAAACCGTGATTATAAAATGCGGTGTGTTGGTCATGCCTTGGCAGGAATACTTTCGTTGTCGAATCAAAAGTATCCAAATGACATACAGCTATTCTTTGGACTTCTCAGCCTGTCATATGGAGGTGGAAAGCAGTTTATAAATATGCTAAGCTCCATTGGACTTAGTCTTCATTGGGACTCCTTGTAAGTATAGTATTTTATATTTTGGTTTTCCAATAAGAGTTCAACTCAATATTTATTCCAGTCAAAACAATTACCTTCTGTTTATAAGAAGCACTTCTGCATGACAAATTAGATGAACTAGTTTAGTATACTCGCACAATGTATACATTGTAAACATACATGTACATTTACATACATGTAATAAGTTACCCTCACAATACTTGTATGAGCAGCTTTTAAATAAAAAAAATGCTGGTATATTTAGAATATGTTTACATTTTTTTCATTGTACATGGTTTTATATAATATTTACAATTCATTTTAGGATGAAGCATTTGGATGAACGATTGGTCAACTTCCAGCAAATTATTGACAAGAAGTTTCACAAGTCATCACCAGTCATTCTCTTGATGGACAACATCAATATCTACAGAGGAAGGAAACGGCACTACAGGCTGTTCAAGACACTTAGTCCCAAAATGTGGAATTTCACAGGTACAATCATATTATCATGAAGTGCTGTAATACATGCATGTTCTTCAGTAACAGTCCTCAAATCTTTTCTTTGTAGGGAGGGGAGCTATTCTGCCCAATCTGGATGGCTTGGATCACCTTTTTAAGTATAGTATTACTGCATCTGAACCTCAGATTGACTTTGAATATCTGAAGGCTGATAATATTTTGCTAGGTATGTCATTCTTTGATTAGAAATTTAAGCACAATAATTCTTGGCCATTGATGAGTCTTGCCATGATTGTTAACAACACTGATTAATCAACAGATCAAGCTTAAATTATATTCACTAAGTAATGTAAATACAGGTATATTTTCAAACAAAAATTACAACCAACCCTGAATGTCCAATCAGACTCATTAGCAAACTTTTCTGTTAGAGTTTGTAGATGTAAACATTTACTTTGCCAATATAATACACTCTTGACTTGATAATCTATGACTACTACAATGTACATGTAGCCAGTTAAATGTTTACTGATTGAGATCCACACTAATGCCCTTTTTATGGCATAAAAGTAACAAATGAGGATGTTGTGTGCACTACATGTACATTGTATTATCAGATGTGTACAGTTATAAGAATAATAAGAACCATGTTTATGCAGATATAAATTTCAAACATAATTAAGTTTTACTTAAATAAGTGAGTAAGTAAGTTTTACTTCATTAACAGATGACATGCAGACACACAAACAAGTTTGGGAGAGTGTCAGGGATGCCTACTTCTTAATGTTGTTTGATCGGGCTTTAAATCTACCTGCCCCACCAAAGCCGCTGCAAGAGATGGAAGAAGACACTTTACACTCATGGTTGTCCTCTCTTGATTTTGAAAGTTTGTACAATCAGACTAAGCAAACACATATTGCCCAGCCACCAATGTCATCTGTGCTGTGTTTGAGAGAGAACATTACACAAACTGAAACACTGGTATTGCCCATGTCCCTAGAAAACAACTCCACCCTTCCTGGCACCGCGTCCATACTAGAGGAATTTGCAAAAGAGTTCAACTTGCCTTGCGAATACCAGACAGAAATGTTGGACTTCAACGAGAAGACACATACATTTGACTTGAAAGGATCAAGAACTCATTATGAATTCCTTAAAATTATGCATATTCATAGAGATGAGATGGCCACTCTTGAAGAGCACATCTTAGACACCTCGAAATACCTGGAAGATAGTGTTCAAGGAAATAGTGATGAAGAGATAAGTGATGCCGAAGAAAGCTCAACAACAGCTGGGAGCTCAGCAGCTTATGTCAAGTCCAAGTACTTTGAAAAGCAAGATGGCTTGTTCAAAAAGACGTGCAGAAAGCTTGTAGACCTAATCTGGAATGCAGTACACTCACCAAATTCACAGACAGCCCTAGACAACCTGATAAGTGACTTGTCCACTAATAGATGGTGGGAGGAGCACACTGACCACTTTAATAGAAGYATTCTCCATTATGCTGTAGRAGCAAACAACCCAACCATGGTTAGAGTGATTCTTGCTGCGGGTACTAACCCCAATATTAAAGAAGGTTGCGGTGTAACACCACTTCATCTTGCTGTTATATCAAAATGCACAGAAATGTACAAAATATTAATTGATGGCTTTGCATTGGTGAAAGGGCTTTCTTTCTCTTCCCTTCCAAGTCCATATGAAATGGCTCAAGCAATGCAGTTGACCGACATATTGAGTTTATTCGAAGAGAAAATCAGTCATGACCAAAACACAAGTGGCCAGCTGGAAGCTCTACTTGGTGAAGATATCTCTGAATCTACTAAAACCAGTGAAGATGATGTATGCATAGATGACGRAAATGAAGATGGAGATTTCGTGTTTGAAAGGTCACAGCCATGTGGGTTTCCTACTGCGTTGGTTGGTGACCAGGGAACATGTAAAAACAACAGAAGTGTGAAACATAAGGACCAGTCAGCATTTGACTGGGTTGCAGAGATTCCAGGCGATCTTCATGCTAAAGGGCATCTATGTGAAGCTGTATACWAAGCACAGGGAAAGGGTGGGTTTTACCACTTGGTCACCAAAGTTCTTAACAGAAAGAAATTGACAAGTGAAGCTTTCCGTAAGAAGAAGTTCCAAGAGCAAAACCTGGAGCACATTAAAGAGGCAGTCCGAGATGCTTCCGTGTCATATGGTATGGCAGCTGTTTATGAATTTAAGAACTCAGAGCAGTTCCCTTCTAAAGAGTCGTTGAAGAAGTGCCATCAAAAGAATGGAAATCACAATCAAGAGTTGTTGGAMTCCTTYAAGGCCTTTATGAAAGCACGTTCAGATGATGCTAACTTTTGTTATCACACAGAAATGTTCTGCCTCTTTGGTCCACTTCTGCAACTATTTAACGACGCAACARGATTTGGAGATGGTTTAGCTCGAGAGACTGTATGGGTRATCCTTTTGCCYATATTTGCCCAACTTCAGTTCCGAAATTATTGGACTGAAGCACTCGTCCATGTGSTCAATTTTGTGGCAGCCTGGCCACTTGCTTTTCGTGAAATGATAAGAAGGAATTMAACGRTGAATTTGACTGGTAAAGATGGTGGTGACATTGACTTGGATGAGTTTGTAGAGTCATTTATTGTTCRTCCTCTGAAGCAGTATTCGTCAGGTGAGTTAATAATACAGTAATATTTTAAACAACCAGAAAATAGGTAGAAAACTTGTATAAGTTTTTTAGAACTATTTCTCAAATTCAGGAATAAATGATGAAGAAGGCTTGTTCTGAGTGTACATGTACTAAGCGTGAGATTTGCTTTATGTACTTGTTAGGTCACTCTTCAGTAAAGACCTGTCAACGCATTATGGCAAATGTGCAGTTTATKGGAAAAGTCCGTCGTTTGTATGCTGACAAGCAGAGCTTTGATGTTCATCCCCAAACCAAACACACACAGCAAAGTTCCATTCCAGACCAAATGAAGGGGATGTGGTTTTGTGTRCGGCAAGGTTTTTTCCAGCATGTAAAGGGGAGAGAAGATGTATTATCGTTTGAAGATTCAAAAACCGTCCCAAAAGCCCTGATATCTGTGTATGAAAAAGGTGTAAACAAAGTTAAAAGCAAGTTCTTTAGGAAATTACATGAATGCTTCCCAGCAGTGAGAAAGCTATCTTTTAATAGAATAGCTGATGACCTAGAGGCTGATGGYGATTTTGATGGAGAAGATGATGAAGAGGGTGGAGAAATGATGGAATTCCTATTTGGCAATTAGACTGTTCTATTATTATAAATATACATGTGCTGACTATTCTACGTTTATACTAGAGTGCACAACACATAAGCATGAAACAACAACAATAATAATAATAATAATAGTAATATTAGCATGTATTGCCAAATGAGATAGGCTGAGTTCTTTTGTCGTCTTTTCCCTTTGGGACACAAAACAAAAGAAGCCAGTTCGGTCATATTATCAACTAAGAATTCAAAGAAGCATAAACACAATGCCAAATTCCTTTGTAGCATTGTTCCAAAATCTTAGTTAGTTGATAACTAAATCTTATTTAGCACTACATAGCTCAGAATTGTTTCATGCTTATTTGGCATGTACTCTAATTACATTGCTAAGAGTTTTAAATAATATAGAGCACAAACAATACACCTGTCAAGGAGTTTACATCTCTTTTACTTAACTGTATACCCTAGTATCGACAGAAAATCAAAAGATTTAGCATAATCTTTTTATATGAGCTTTTTGAATGACATATGTATTGTTTGTTTTCTATTTCACTGGTATACCTGTACTTGCAAGAAGGTTGTCATACAGAAATAGAACATTTGTGATTTTAGGAAAGGTATTAATTTTAAGACAAAAAGAAAAATTATACTAAAGCTGAACTCAGCCCTCTGGTTTTCTGATTCCTTTCGCACCAAATGTTCTATTGTCTGCTGTACAATGTTCAAGTAGGCATCATTATTATAAACTTAAAACAACTCTTTCCATTCCATTCTTAACTTGGTATGCCTTTTCTGTCAGTGTCAAAAATGGGGCAGATGTGTTATCTGTCTGATCTCTCAAGTTCTCTWGCATATATCCATTCACAATCAGTAGTTGAAAAARTCGTATTGCTTGACCTTCCGACTTTAACTTAGCTTTTCCCAGCCCATATTGTGGTACTAGTTGGAAGTTTTTAYTCAATACMTCCTTTTTACTTTTAGAACCTTTGAAGGTGAATGCAGCTTGTTTGACTGTTACTTTACTTTGAATGCTCATGGACAACACACAGTCAAAAGCTTGAACACTTAGGTCAGTATAATCTTTGGCCACTAATTGATTTGGATTCTGGCAGTTATCACATAAATTGCCACATGGTTGTAATGTGTCACTGTCCCCATCAAAGTATGACAATATAAAAGATGTACGGCAATGGTTTAGCATGCAATATTTYGCAATAGTATCTAACATCAGTTTTTGACGGCATTTTTGGTCCAAGTCTGTTGTTCTGCTTATAGAGTTAAGAATTTTGGATCTGTCCTCAAACCGATAGAATAGAATGCAGGTTGAGGGCAAACCATCCCTTCCTGCTCTWCCTGCTTCCTGGAAGTAATCCTCCATGGATTCAGGAACAGTAAGATGGATGACAAATCTCRCATCCTTTTTATCTATTCCCATGCCAAAAGCTTTTGTTGCAYAGATTATGGATGCTCTTCCATCCAACCACGCCCGTGAATTATACTCTTTCTCCATCTCGTCAAGGGCACCGTCATAGTGCACAGCACTAATCCCTTTGGCTTTTAGTAAATAAGCMATGTCTTTAGTGTCTCGTCTTGTACTGCAGTACACAATTCCACATTTATCTTTGAACCTTTCACAAATCATATTTACTATGTCATCTTTGGCCTTTTGATCATTTTTGGGAGTAACACAAAAAAATATCATAATGCTGGACAGGATTAAACCCAATACGTGAAGTCTTTAACACACAGTCACGCCACGAAACTTTATTTTAAGGAAAACTAGTTTCGTCCCAGATTGGACCTTTTCAATACAAATATCAAACACACAAAAAAATCAAAAAAATAGATTATTTCTTTCTGATGGCATTTTAATAACAATTGGAGTTGACATTTGAAGCCTGTTGATGATGACAGCCTGTGTTCTTAGGGTGGCAGTAGCAGTGAATGCATGAAGTGGTATCCCAAAGTTGTGTTAAGAATTTAGTTCTGTATATGCTGGTCTAAAGGTTGAGCCCCAAGTATCTATGCAATGTGCCTCATCAATGATAAATCTACCAAGAGTACMAACTTTGGACATTTCCTGGAAATGTTTCTTCATTCTTTCTGAAGTAGCAGCTTCAGGGGTTAGGTAGAACAATTTGTAGCAGCAATGTTCTTGCGACAGCTCATGAAGCACTGCTTCCTTTTCCTCATCTGGCATCGTAGACCTTACATAACATGCATTGATGCCTTTTGACCTTAGCTTGTTAACTTGATCACTTAATAATGCCAACAAGGGAGTTATTACAATTGTAACACCAGGCATTATCAAAGCTGGAATAGCATAGCAGATTGTTTTCCCCGAACCTGTAGGTAACAAAATTAGGGAGTCCTTTTTGTCAAGTATAGATTGAATGGCTTCTCTTTGCTTTGGTCTAAAATCGCTGAAGCCAAATATATTTTTTAAGGCATACAGTGGTGGATCTTCAGAATCAGTATGTTGGAKAGTGATATTGATGTCATTAGGGATGGTTGTTTCTTGTAAAGGGGTTGTGGTATCAGGAACATATTTCTGTAAATGCAAAAAACAACAACACATATTTCACTTTTTACATATTAAATGCCCCATGTAATACCTGGAAAATAAACAAATCARAAATGAAAAATAATTGATGACACGGTTTCAAAGCATCATAGCTTTAGTGCTTAGTTTGCCTCATAAAGACAATAATAGTGCATTTCAACATGCTACCACAACACCCTGCTAGCATTGCTTTTGTTGATTCATTAGCAATAATGGTCTTTCAAATAATAAAATTTGCAATGGTTTTTGATGATTCCGGATGTGGCAGTTTGTTATTATTTGCAACTGACCAAGTAATATACCTGCTTCAAATGAGAAGTTGGTAACTAAAATCACTTACTCACTACAAACTCTTAGATTAAACCTGCACAATAAAAATGTTACTGAGGTTAGTAAATTAGAACATGTTGATCAAGAATATGACTAGTTACATATTGGTAAAATTACTATTACTGTGATAATGAGAGATGAAAGAGGTTATTAGAAATGTTTATGTTTAAAAACTGAAACAAATACACCAATTTATTTAAACATGGTAGATTTTGCTAAATAGTTTGTTCTTTGTTGTTTAAGCACATGCTATCTATTTAACTAAAGATTAAATGTTTTATATGTTTGTTAGCATAGCAAGAAGTCTTTTGATTGACTAAAGTGTATGATAATATTTTGGGATGTATGTGCTTGCATAATATACCGGTTGATATATGCAATGTAATAGGAATAGGTGCTCACAACCAATTGTACTCGTTTGGGATTTGAACCCAAGCTACTTGATGAATAATCATCAAGTGTGCTGCCATCTACACTAACAAGAATTGTATAGGTAGTGCACACCTAGTCCTGCATGTGGTTATTGAGAAAATCATTAAAGAGTTTCTAGCTTACAAAGAGTCAATTGATATTTTTTTGTTTGTTTGACTACAGGTTAGTAGACATGCCAATCACAGTATAGAAAGTGTGAAATTGCAGTAGATTATATACTTCAATATCAGTTAATATGAGTTCAGAGTCTGATAACCGGTTATGTGTTATACACTCTAGAGTGATGTGTGTGTATGACAATATTTATAAGCTTAAAATGGTTACAGAAGGCAGAAGAGTCACAACAGAAGAGTCACAGCTTCTGGACAGATAAATATACATACCACCTTCACGTAAAAGGATTCCACGACAATTTCAACTTTGCTGGTAGACTTATGGAACCATACATTGAACTTCACTAGCACAGACAGCGAGTTAACAATAATTATATTAGGTCTGCTACCTCTGCCATATGCTTCTAAATAGCCCTTGTGGTAAAGGTAGGTGCCAAAGAGTTTCGAGGCATGAGTTGCTGAGGTGCATTGTAGTGTGAGCTTCATGGAAGTAGTATTGTGTTCAACATGGAATTCTTGTCCTTCGTTCTAGGTCGAGGAAAACAAATCTAGTGATTTTCTTTCGAAGGGATCGATCCCTGATCACAATGAACTTTCTTACCTTTAACTTGTAATCATTCGAAATGGTCTTGATACATTTTAGCGTTTCCTCTGCATGTCTATTTTTCAAAATCGCTTCGGCATTGAAGAGTTCGTCTTGAGTAATTCGTGAATTATGTATAACGCGATAGTGATGGTCGAGTCCATCACGAGAATAACATGAGACGCTAACGGAGCACTGTATGTGAGGACATGGGAGATTATTAGACAGGAAACATCGGTGAAATGGCCTTTTTTCGAACAGATTGTTATCAAATGAAAAGTTGTCCGCCATCTTGGATTTGTTTTCTGCCAGTCGCGCTTCGCGCTTTCCCTTCGCCCTTCCCTTGATGCATTGCGCGTCTCTAAAAAAGCCGGAGAAGCGACTGGGTACGAGTCTGTTGCAGTCACGAGCTGGAAGCAGGATGAATGTATTTTGTAAGACCTGATGCTTTGGTATAGAAGACCCTCAAGCATTGTCTGGTGAGAATGCTTTCATTATAACGACTCGAATACAGTGAACTAATTCAGCAAAACTTCAGTGTAATTGCCCGTGACGGAGTTTAGAAATTAAGTATATTGATGCGTACAAATGTACAAAAGCTTTATCTTGTCACTAGCTCTTTACCAATATATTAGATATTCAATGACTTAGTTATAGCAAATGTTTCATGTTTGGTTCTATTCTACCGTTTCCAGACGACATTTGATGCTCAAAAAACCTTACAAGCCTGTGTTTCGACATATCTAAGTCTTATTTCGTCGAGTCATGACTGAAGCGGAGTGCTTGGAACGATTAAGAGCATTGATGAAAACTCTGGGATTGGATGCATTTTTGATTGAAAATCAAGATGCTCACCATGTAAGTACAAAATATCGTATTATTGCTGTATTTCCAAGGGAGTTTTGCTAGAATGACGAAACCCTGTTAAACACTTGAGCAAGGTCTCGGGAGAGTTGCCAGAAATTATTTTATATCAACAATAGGGACTCTACCGGTAGCCCTCGTTTTAAATTCTTTTTTACTTTTCTACAAATGCACCCCAGAGATTGAAGTTATCTATCCGAACTATATTATTATTAAGCTATGTACGTCCCCTGTGTGGGACGTCCTATTCTTTCTTAAAACAATGTTCAAACGCTCGGACGGGTTTGAAATGAAATTCAAGACCTGTGGCACGACCTTGAATTTCAACAGTGGACTTCAATGCAAATCTTAGCGCTTGATCCTTTATTAAAAGTCCCTAAAGAAGACTACAGAGCTAGACGAAACGCGTAGGAGAATATTAAACGTTATTACAACTCAAAACCCAAAGTGCTGCTCACTGGTCTCCGTGAAAAAAATTCAAGTAAAATAATTAGAAAATGACCAGGAAACACTACGATTATTATGCATCAGTCATTGCATGCGTCTCATATCATCGTGAATCATAACAATATCGAACTCGAAGACAAGTGAACGACGAGCTGATAGCCCAGGGGCAATGGCCGAGAGGCGAGAGGTTTAATTGTTTTAGTATCTCTAACTAGTTTTGGACAAAATATGAATAAAATATATATATGAGCATGGCTTCAATTAAATTTACATAATTTATCTCCGATGACAATGTTTCTCAAGCTTAGCATCACTAGACGTTGGCAAAAGGTGGTTTACGTGAAAAAACTTAAAATGGTTCTTAACATATCGATTAGACCCACAATATTTCTAAAAGAAAATCAAAATTGGCGCTTTTCCACAAGTTGAGACCCCGAGTAGCGTAGCCAATCAGAATGTAGGATTTGCAATAGTCCACTAGTATGGTAATAGGTAATACTAAACAGTATTAACAACAAGCAAACCAATATGTCTTTTCTTTGTTATTCAAGTTTTTTAATCCTTGGAGATTAGATTAGTATCTAAGAGGTGCAAAATACCTGCAACATTTTTCAAAATCTAATCGCCCTGCTATACCATTTTCCTTTGTTTAAATGTAACTAAAAACAAAATTAAACCCAACAATTCAAGTTAAAAACTGAATCTTGTTACTTTTAATTAGCGTTTGCTCAAGTTTGGAATACATTTTCACATAATTAATTGAGGGGAATGGTTTTGAAACATTTTTTTTGTACTTTTGTACGTATTTTGAGGTTGATCAGTCAAGACCGTGCACAGCACTTTTCTTACGGACGATGGAAATAAAATGAGTGAACATAAACACCCTCTATGATATTATGAAATGGAATATTTCAGTATTCATGACTAAGTTTTTTAGTGCATTTTGAAGAAATAGTCAATAGAGAATATTTTTCGCTCTGTTCATTCAGATGTGACCAGTATGGCAAAAACAGTAGTTAAACACAAGATTGTGCACAGTCACGCTCGGAAAAAATTGCACAAAAAAACTGCAAAACAAAAGGCTTCCTAACCATTTCCCTCCACAAACTATGATTTTCAAAGCTTTTGAATAACGTTTTTTGACAAAATCGAATTGACTATAAAAGTATCGGAAAACTTATATTTCCTTTATCATAGTCTTTAGATTTTATTTATGTTTTATTGTACTTGGGATAGGCTGCCAAAAGAAAAGAACACTTTTTTATCGACGCGCGTTATTAGTATACGTCATGCACGATCTCGAGTGACAAGGTCAACCTCGTTCCCAAGGCCTTTTGAAAAAAGACAGCACAAATCGTCTTTGTTTGGTGTCTGTGAAGTGCTCTTCAATGGTTCAAGTCGTATCTCTCTAATCGCCATCAATTTTTATCCATAGATAATGTCTCGTCCGACTCTCTTCCGCTTAGTTGTGGTGTTCCTCAAGGTTCCATCCTGGGCCCAGTTCTCTCCTTTACACTTCTCCTGTCGCTGATATTCTCCGAAAGCATAAGATGTCATTTCATTTCCATGCCAATGATACTCAAATCTACATTCCTTTCTCCTGTTATGATGATGACGCTTTAGGTGTTGCCTTAAACCGGCGATATTAATTAAAGCTTGTCTCTTGTCGAAATTGATCTCTGGATGACTCTCAACAAACTGAAGCTGAACAGGGACAAAACTGAGTTTCTTATTTTTTCATCTATTAAAACACTGTTCATGATTGCGCTCTCACCTCAACCTCGTCCTCAGGCCCTTATATACCAAGCGAAGCGATAATGGCCTGGGAACGAGGTTGCTGAAATTCGCTTTGGCTCTGAAATAATTCGTCCCTCCTCTGGTGTCCGTAACATTGGTGTTCTTTTTGGCTCTTCTATGTCTTTGGCTTATCACATCAAAATGACCTGCAGATCCTCTTTTTATCCTCTTCGAAATATTTCAAGAGTCAGGAAATTACTGTGTGTTAAATCCATGCGGAAATCTTTGTACACTCGTTTATATTATCAAAACTTGACGCAAGAATAGCGTTTCTTAAAACACTTACATTCTTAAGATGATGAGCAAATAAGTTTGCGCGATCACCTCAACTGCGATGTAGTACTTGCATCTGCGCAGTATTTGGAGTGATCTAATTACCGTTACAACATTTTAAAAGATATGAATGTAAAGACCGTATGGCACTATGAGATACATGACATTGAAATAAAGGACAGTTATAGTGCAAGGAAGATTATTCCGGGAGAAATATCCTTGTTAGGCCGCGCAAACGTGTTTAACATATTGCCGCTCAACAAAGTCAAATGCCGATCCGAAGGTAGTGCTGAAAGCGTTTTTTGCGCCCGCTATTCCACTGTTCTACAGCGTTCAGCAAAGTCATTGAATGATGTTTGAAAGCGTTTGCACCTGGATCTGACAGAAAAATGAGTCACTTTTTTGGGAGGGGAGGAACCATATGGCCGCAACCATATGAGAGCAAAAAAAGCTAAACATTTAGGAGATAACGTTATTATTATAAATATACTTAGCTTAAAGCTCTGTATGCAAATTTTGAATAGAATGAAACATAAAACTCGCAATAAAAATGTATTTTACAGATTTTTTAGCGATGCATATGACTCTTCTCTATTTAAACAATAGATCGAGTAGTTGAATTGAACTGCAATAAAAAACAGAGATAAGCTGATTGAGGCGGATTCAGTTCCGTTTCCATGTTGGCACATAAATTCAATGTTTTATAGCCTCGAAAGGCCGATTTTTTCGCAAGCTCCCTCGGATTTTTTTTGGTATTTACTAGTGGGATACTAGCGGACATACGTATGAAGAAAAAGTGTCTGTTGGCTGGATTTTGAAGAATGCTGGCCTGTGCATACAGCGCACTTGAAAGCAATGTATTTTTTGGCATAACTTTGAAGCGCACCGATATTTTCACCAGAAAATAGCCTTCTTGTGAGCAACTCAAAATCAAAAAATATATATTATATATATATAAAAATTGTCAAATTGTCTGGACACCACTCAATCAATCATTTTCAATCATTCCCACGAGATTCAAAAGATAAAAGATCAGCAGCCATGTTGAAGGAATGAACAATAGATACAGGGCCGTAGCCAGAGTGAACAGACAACCGAGGCAAGAGACCGCCAAAGGCAGGAGGAACTAGRAGGKTCTGGGSGCATTCTGCCCCTAGAAAATTTGAAATTCAGTCTCTCAGAAATGCGATTTGCAGTGTTTTGTGGACCTTTTATTGAACCGCCGGAATTTATCATGTAATATTTATGAAACAAAGAAGCTATACGTACAAAATTACTATTATTTTTTTTGCACAAAATCAGTCATACGAAATTGGCTCTGAGAGGCTAAGATGATATTAGTGATGAAAAACAAAAGTTTTCGGCAAAATTTTACCGAGCCGATTGCCTCGGTTGGCCTCTTACTAGCTACGGCCCTGAGATACTAATGAGAAATCCTTTGTTGAAATTCCTCCAAGATGGCCCCTGTGACGTATAGTAAAAAAACAACTAAAATAGAAGTGCAATATTTGTAATAATTTATGTGTTACTTTAATTCCCAAAACTACTTTATTTGCATTTTAGCATATTCAGAGTTTTCATGATATTATTTACTGAATTCAAGCTTTTTTAATGGTTTTAATTTTCAATGTTGTTTTTTCTAGGATGAATACATGTCATATGTTGACTGTCGCAGTTCTATATTAACAGGATTTGTCAACCGCTATGGTACAATATTGCTTACTATAATTATGGAAAACTGTAATTATTCTATGATAATTCTATTTTAAATGAGATGCACTTTCCTTTTTTTAGCCAAGTTTGTGATTACTGAAAGCAAAGCTGCATTATGGATCGACTGTCGCTACTTGTCCCACCACCAGAACGCTCTTGACAGCAAAGTCTGGACAATTTACCTAAAAGGTATCTTTATCTGTCTTACAAGTCATAATTATGGTTTTTCGACTTTTGTCTGGGATAGGTTAATAATCTGATCATTTTAGTCTAAATAGGTGTAGACACAGAAATAATGTAAATTGTATTTAAAAGTTAGCTTAAAATAGGGTGTACAATTCAATAGGTGAAGGGTTAGGGTAAGGTCGGCCTACAGCATCACACCCCTGCTACTCTGCAGCTGAGCACGTTTGATTAATTATAAGGGACCAGTCATAATTTATATGGGGTTTCCAGGGGAGGGGGAAGGGGGAAATTCATGCTATAATTGAATTTTATAAAACCATTTGAATTCATACATGTTATGACGTAACAGTAGCTTTGATTTCTTTCTTTTTACCAGCAAAACTATTGTAACTATGCCATTAAAAATTGTACTTCCAATAATAATACTAATAATTGTAAGACCTTCAGACAAAGGTGTATACAACCAAGCTCAATAACCCTAACCTGTCGACTGGGGGTGTGTCACAAAGCAAATGTTATACTCCAGGGGATATGCCAGAGAGAAATTTTGCATGTTGCGCAAAAAAACATCCCCCCACCCTCCCATGTAAATTATGAGCGGTCCCTAAGTATATTAGCAAACCAAATCAATTGTAGTTTTATGAGTTTTATGAGTTCTTGATCTTTTACCACATGGCTTACTGTACTTGTTGACAGCATTTTACCCTAAAAGGGACCAGTAACTCAGTCGGTGGGAATTCTTGTCGTTATCACTTTCGACAGAACATTCATGACTCAAATTCGAACCCAGCTAAAAGGGATTAATTGACAGCAATTACTTTTTTAGTATGGATTTTTTTCACAAAACTTCAATTCTCTAGCTAGATTCAGATACAGACTTTTAATTCACTTTGTCTTTCAAGGTCATTCTGATACACCAACAAGAGAGGAATATCTGTTAAAGGTGGGTATAATATCTAATTGTTACAATTTGTAATAAAGACACTTTGTAATAAAGACACATCGTATTTTAATCAACAAAACTTCAACCTAGCGCCACATCCAAACCTTGTGCCACGCTACTCATACACACTGCCCTGCGCATGCGCGACTACTACTACATCACCCCCCCTTTACAAAGTTGTAACAGTAGTTAGTTTTGGTCTGATTCGCTTGATAGTCTCTTCGTTTATCTTTCTTCTGTCCCCCAACGAAAGGAAATCATCACGAAGATAGCTCACCACCCATTCCCCATAACTGTCGGGAGGTCTCCTTACACGCTGTGGTCTTCTTGTTTCCTCACTCATATCGGGGTCTTCCGCGCTAATGCCCTCAACATTATTGTCACCAGTTTCTTCACCTTCAGACTTCTCACTGTCACTTTGATCATCATCGTCGTCACCATCATTTTCACTATTGTCACTATCATCTTGACTTTCATCACTATCATCCCAAGTGTCATTTCCATTATCTGTATTGGAGCATACCTCTATTAATTCACCAGTCTGCTCCTCACTAATCTCCAACTGAGGTTCTTGAACACAAGTAAACGATTGGTATCCACTGTCTTCCRTCATGTCATCACGAGCTACCTGCTGCGTGTCTGAGTCACACTGTTCCTCTAAAGGAATACTAGGAGGTTGTGAGCYCTCTGTTCCTAGCCGTTTGAGAAGTCGTAAGTTGTTGGAATGTACAACATCTGATCTATGGCATCGTCCCTCGAGCTTGCGGAGACGGCAGGTGACCTCACTAGTCCTCTCTAGAACCTGATAGGGCCCCTCCCAGAACCTGTGAAACTTGCTAGCTTCTCCTTCTTTGAGTTGGGGTGTGTACCTGAGTACCAAATCGCCAGGCTTGTAGTTAGTAACTTTAACCCCACGATCGTAGTAATCCTTCTGTCTTCTCTGGGCAATTTTGAGTTTCTCCCTCACATCCCGATAAGAATCCTCCAACCCTTCTTGTAGCTTGGTTACAAATTCTCCATATTGGCATGTGTTACTTTCTTTCGARCCACCAAACATGATGTCTACTGGGAGTGTCATCTCGTGTCCAAACATCAACTCGAATGGTGTGTGTCCTGTKGATGCGTGCACACTACTTCTRTAGGCCATCATACAAAAGTCAAGTTCTTCATCCCAAGAGTTGGCCAGCTCTTCACATAAGGTTTTCAACATTGCTTAAAGAGTCTTATGGAAGTTGTCCACCTGCCCATTCCCCGGGGGGTGATATGCTGTGGTATGGGTCTTACTAATYTTCAGGAGATCACACAGTTCCTGGAATACCTTGGATTCRAAATTGGCACCGAGRTCACTATGAATACTATCTGGGACACCAAATCTACAGATCCAATTCTTAACAAGCACACGGGCACAGGTAGTTGCTCTCTGATTACTAATTGGATAGGCCTCTGTCCACTTGGTAAAACTACACTGGGCTGTTAAAAGGAAACGGTTGCCCCTCTTGGACCGAGGTAACGGCCCAATAATATCAATGTGCACCCGTTGCATTGGATTTCCAGAAGGGATTGTGTGGAGGGGYGCCCTTGGTTGTGGTCGAGACTTACATTTAGCACATATTGAACACTGATCACAGTACCTGTGCACATCCTTTGTTAGTCCTGGTCTCCAGAATCTTGTCTTCATTTTCATCAAAGTCTTCATTCTTCCCAGATGGGCCCCTGAAGGACCATCATGCAGTTGTTCTAAACATTCTTCTACCATAACCTTAGGAAGTATGATTCTACTCTGATGTTCACATTTTTCAGCCTTACGAAGAAGTACACCATCTTTCATTTCCAGTAAATCAAACTGGCCCATATCTCTTTTTCTGTTTTACTGGCAGATTGCAGTTCCTTTTTCGTTGTTTCTCCCACTTCTGTTGCAGTCGAGCAAATAACCGGATCAATATCTGGGTCGTCTCGCTGCGCTTTAACAACAGAGTCAAGAGCAACTGGAACTGCTGAAACAACAGAAACAACATCTTGGTTAGTATCATTCGGAGAACATGAGGGTCAATTTCCGTGATGTCGACTTGGCCGACGAGAGGGCGTCTGCATTTGCATGCTGTTTTCCAGCCCGATGCTCCACCACAAAGTCATACTCTTGGAGTCGCTCAAGCCAACGAGCTACTTGTCCTTGAGGCTCTCTGAAAGACATTAACCAAGTCAAGGCATTGTCAGTTCTAAGAGTGAATTACCTCCCTAACAAATAATATCAAAAGTGTTCAATGTATGTTGCAAGAGCCAAAAGCTCCAGTCWAGTGGCACAATAATTCTTCTCATGTTCATTCAATGCTCTGCTTCCATAAGAAATGACCCTCTCTGTGCCATCAGCTTGGACTTGCGACAGSACWGCACCAATACCWAGAGACTGACTTGCATCAGTGTCTAGGATGTACGTTCCTGCATTCGGTTGAAAGTTGGGGTAGGCCAAAACTGGAGCGTCGATCAATCGAGTTTTCAGTTTTTCAAATGCTGATGCTTGTGATTCTCCCCAATGAAAGGGAACACCTTTTCTACACAGGTGATTAAGTGGTTCAGCAATGATTGAAAATCCTGAAATAAAACGCCGATAATAGCTGGCCAGACCAAGGAAACGCTGAAGCTCCTTCACGTCAACGGGAATAGGCCAGTTCTTAACAAAAGCCACCTTGTCAGGATCAGTTTTAATCCCTTGGGAGGAGACAACATGTCCTAAGAACTTCACTTCCTTTTTAAAGAATTGGTACTTCTCGGGTTTCAGCTTGAGTCCAGCTATCGTAATTCTCTCAAAAACTGGTTCTAGCCTTTCCAAGTGCTCTGTCAGGTCTCGTGACCAAATGATAATATCATCTATATACACCAGACAATGAGTCCAAGTTAGTCCATCTAGGGCTAGGTTCATCAAACGTTGAAAACTGGCAGGACCATTGGWGAGCCCAAATGGCATTACCTTCCACTGAAACTGGCCACGGTGAGTTGAAAAGGCTGTCTTTGCTCTATCTCCTTCTTTGACCTGAAGCTGCCAGTAACCAGAGGCCATATCAAGACATGAAAACCATTGGGCTCCCCCAAAGCTTCCAACACATCATCAGTCCTAGGTAATGGCAGTGCATCTTTCCTCRTGCAATGGTTAAGTTTTCGATAATCAATGCACATTCGATATGTCCCATCGTGTTTCTGTACCAAAACAACAGGACTAGACCAGGGACTTTGAGATGGTTCAATCCTGCCATGATCTAGAAGCTCATTCAATTGCTGATCAATTATTTTCCGTTGACCAGGGGGTGTACATCGAGGGGGCTGCTTTATAGGCTGGCTAGTACCCGTGTCAATTTCATGCTCCATTAGATCAGGTTTTCCAAGGTCCCTGTACTTATCTATCAGTGACATAAGACCACTAGCCTCTCCTTCAGACAACTTCTGGACATCTTGCTCTAATCGTTTCTGTAACTTTACTGTTAGTAGGGTTAGTATGATCTTTGTCATCGAATGAGATATTCATACAATTGGATAGTTTGCCAGTAGGGATACTCATTTTATCATTCACTTCCTTCAGGGTCCTACAAACTTGAATGACAGGGTAATATTCTGCTACTGGAAAGCCAGATGCAATTGAAAGAGGTTGATCTGTGAAATTAGTTAAGCATACAGAAGCCAGGCCATCCCTAGGAATAACTATAACACGTGCCATACAAATTTCTACAAATTTCTTCTCAAGGACGGCGCTTCGCTTCGCGCCGTATATAAACTACAAGGACGAGTAAATCCAGCCTCTGGTTCCCAGGGTAGAATTTCACTGCCTTGGACCACAAATGTTCCTGTTTCATAGTTGATTTGACATCCAAAGTATTGAAAGAAGTCAGATCCAATATAATGCATTCATGAGTCAGGTCACGCACCACAATAACAGGCCACACACAATCACAATCTCCAGTCCCGAGTCCCGTGACATAAACGAGTCCCGTGACATAAACTCCAGACTCTGATATTGTAGACACAACAAATTTACCATCATTTTCTGTTTTTATGCCAGAGGCCGCGCTTCCTGATTGTTTTAAATCAGCGCTGTGATTGACGTTTTCAATTCGCTGTCAAAATAACGATATCCAGGCTATTTCGAGAACTCTGAAAACCAAAACAACACGGAAAGATGGTTTACAAAGTCGAATTTATTGATCGCTACATTGAAAAGTCAGTGAGGGAAAACTGTGATCTTGATCGTCCAACAAGTCGTGTGTATCTCTGTTGGATAGGCTATATAGATTAGGATTTTCATTTTTGTCATTTTGTAAAGAGTAGCATAAGTAGTTACATGTTTTTAAAATAGCATCCGTGAATGTGTATTCTACGTACAGCCTAACCTTTCAGCCGAAGTTCAAAGAGTCTTTATACTATAGAAAGATGAAGGTCAAATGTCAGTGTCATAACGTACATACACGAAATTCATGTGTTGCTTTGTTGAATTTGCAGGACAGTCTACCTTATTATGTTTGCTTTTCGAAAGGCGCTTTGAACTATAAATAAATCTGGTAATAAGAAGGTGACAAAACACATAACATGAAATTGACAAGTAACGAACCATTTCCGGTTCAATGACCTCTAGTAGGCGGTACATGATTTAGYGGCTCGTTCTGGCAGGCTCTCTTTTTTTTCCGCTCCGCCTTCCCACCCCCTCCCCTTCCGTTTCCCCCCTCCCCCTCCCCTAGAGCCGCCACGCAGGCTAAGTCTCTTGCAAAGTGACCGGGATTTTTACAAGTAAAACAAACAACATTGTCACGCCTACGAGCCCCACTTGCAGATTTCGTCTCATTCTTTTCCTGTCTTTATCCTCTAAACTTTGGATTCGTTTGTTCATCTCCAACACCAGATCTTTAAGTTCCTTTAATTCTTTAGATATTTTATCGTCCGTAATGACACTTACTCGATCCTTAGACGAAGCGGAATTCTCTTTAAATATAAATAAAATAAGTGGATTAGGTGGATTTGTTTGCATACATGCTTTACGAGCGCTCTCTAGACGTCGTACAAGGCGAACAGCTTCTACAATAGATGATGGTTGACTCATATCTTTTCTCGCATCTCATCGGAGACAGAAACTCCTTGAATAAATTGATCTTAGTCAGCCTCGGGGTATGCATTTTCAGCCAAATCGACCAAGGCGTCCGCAAACGTGTCAACATCTTCGCCAACCTTTTGTCTTCGCGCTCGTAATTGAAGCTTGTAATCTTCTTTTGTTTTTCCAGAATCAAACCGTTSAATTAACTTATCCACGAATTCCTGGTAGCTARGCGTTSGAGGTAGTTTTAACAGCTCCACTGCTTTGAAAGCCGGTTGATYGAGTTGTGTTAGTAAATACGCTCGGCGGTCCACCTCGTTGATTTGCACTAATCCAGCATATTGAACGAACTGAGAATGCCAAATTTTGAAGTTTTGTCTCACTGAATATACACGAGGAGCTCGAACATTTCTTGGTACATCATCTCCTTTCTTCAAGGCACCCGTTTGTATCTGTACCAATTGCAAAACTTCCGATTGGGCTCCCATTGAGCTAGACTGAGATGGACCATCTTGAGGTKYTGGAAGACCGCCTTCGGCTSCAATCACTGGTTTAACTGGCTTTTTATCTCCCATCCGATCACACCGCTGCCACCAATTTAATAAAGACACTTTGTAATAAAGACACTTCGTATTTCAATCAACAAAACTCAAGAGTACCCAACGACAACTTTTCATATAATCACCTAAAATGATGTCTATGTCACATKACACGAGTTCYCACGCGRATTATAGTTAATTATTAACATCGCTGGGAAAAAAATAACCGCTCCACATAGCCAGCTAGAAAAAAAATTAAAATATTTTTTCCCAGCCAGCATTTGCTATAAAAAYATATATTTTCCCAGCAAGAATAACACCCAGGAATATTTTTCCCAGATAGGATGAAATCAATAATATTTTCCCAGCTAGGATGAAATACAAACCCAAACACCTACAACCCCTCCCCGACCAAAAAAACTCCTCCCCACCCCCTACCCCCCTACCCCCC